ATGATCTTTCTCTTGCACCGGCTCCATTGGATAGTTGTGAATCCCAAGAGTGTCATTTCTGCTCTATCCCAAACCGTACCAATTTTCCTCTGATGACGATTTGTGGATTGGCAAAATCTGTGCGCTTAAGGTTAGCATAGAATTCGCGAACCCACTCCTCATTAGCTTTGCATGGAGTGGGAATGAAGCATGACCATCCGGATATATGGAGACGGGCATAGAAATCTGGGAGCTTCTCGGCCAATTTTTCTTTGTTGATCCCCTTTTCAAGCACTATCCTTTTGTTGACGAGGTCGTCCAAATATCTACGCTGACAGTCAGCTGACATGAAGCGTGATTCATCATACGGTTCCTCAACCTACTCCTCAATTTCATGTTGGTGTTGAGCATTTTCATCCATGTTCGGGTCCAATTTCAATCAAAGTACCTTCACAAAATCAAAACAAAGTCAGTCGGGCGATAGAATCATGTTAAGCAATTCAAAATACTGCAATTAGGCCAAAGAATCCAGTTGAACGGGCCCGGGAAGGCCCTCTTGCAAAGCTACTGGAATTGTGCAATCTGCCCAGTTTTTGCATCTGCGGAAAACAAGCCGCAGGTGCGGTTCCGCTTCTGCAGAAAATTAACCGCATCTGCGGTTTTCTCAGCTTGGCCAAAAATCGCACCTGCGGAAAATCATCGCAGGTGCGATACCGCATCTGCGAAACACTGACTGCATCTGTGGTATTCGTCAAGTTCTTCAACTGCCCAGATTTTTTTTTCAATTTTTGATTCTCAAACCCAATTTTGGCACTTAATTTATACTCAAGGCTTCTAAATTAGTGCAGTACATGAAATTTTGATTCTAATGAGACCGACTTTGTGGTATTTAGCAAGAGATTTTCTATTAAGCAATTTGTCGAACATCTTGCAAGCACTTTAAAGCCTCTTATTTACACAATTTGGGTACTCAGATTTCCCACAAATGTGATCCAACACTAGCAGCACACAAAAATGCACTCTTAACCAATTTTCCTCACCCTATTTTCACACATATCAGAGGGGAATGGGGAAATAGGGGACAGCCATGGCAGGCCTGAGAAAAAGAATAAGGAGAAAAGAGAAGACAAAGAAAGAAGAGAGAAGTAGATGAGAACCAAGAGAAAATACCTGAATATCGTGTGAGTGCAGTACAATTCACAAGCAATGGAGGTTTTGGAGTATGTTAGAGATGGGGGAGTTTAGGGCTGGGAGGAGCAGTATGCAGAATATACCTGTGAAGGAATGAGACTTCTATTTTTTTAATTTAAGACCTGCTCGATTTTCGCATCTGCGGTATTTTACTGCTTCTGCGGCGCCGCTTATGCGGCTAGTGACCGCTTCTGCGATATTTTCTGCTTCTGCGCTTGTGAGCTCGCTTCTGCGTGACCGCTTCTGCGGTCAAAGATCCGCAGATGCGGTTACACCAGAAGATTGATGCACAAATTCTGCAGCTACTGGTTTTGGCCCTCCGGACCACTCCGACCTGCTCAAATTAACTCCAAAAAATCTAAAACTTGGCAAATTAGTCACAAATAATATTCTAAGCTATTCTAAAAAAGAAAATTTTAAAAATGACTAAAATTTTGAAAAACGATGGGTTGCCTCCCACCAAGCGCCGCATTTAACGTCGTGGCACGACTCAAGTCAACTTTACCACTTTTCTCGCCACTTGGACGATATGAATTGGGCACCCAACTTGGAATCAAGCTTGTGACCACGAGCGGTGGGGGGTGGTAAGCCGATGATCAAGCCAAGCCTTAAATTCTTCATTTGCACTTCTTGGCTCTCATGTGAGGAATGTCATTTTGCTTTCTTGTTCCCTCAAATTGTAGGATGTATGGTATGAGTTTTTCCTCCTCACAGTCCTTCATTGATTCGTGTAGTTCAACTTCTATATCACCACACAATTCCAATGTTGAAAAATGCTTGGAATGTGACTTCAAACCTCCAACTTGCAATTTTTCCCGGATTTTGACATCCTCTTTTTCCCCCGAACTAGAGTCAATCTCAACTAACTTTTCATTTACACCGGATGACTCTAATTCCATATTTTTCTTGGCATCATTAACACTCATGGAGTCGGTTGGCGGATGTTCAATTCTTGACTCCTCAAAGCAGAGCTCACTTTCTTCCTCGAAATCGGACTCTTCTTGACTTCCTTCTACACTCTCAAGTTGGTGGGCATAGTGAGCCTCAACCAATATTTTCATTTGATTTTCCAAAGCGCGGATATGTTCATCATTGTGAGTCAAGTTTTGTTTCAAGTCCTCGAGTGCAAAGTTGTGCTTCTCCTCATTTGCAAGAATGGTCTCCAACATGATCATCATCTTCTCATTTTGAGCATTTGAGAGTTCTTCTTGGTTTTGATCAAGTGCCAAGGAAGGATTTTCGGCTTCCACATCTAAGGAAAATTCTTGGCTATCATTAAATTCCGAGGATTTTTGGACCTCTAAAGCTTCAAGCATTTCTCCCATTTGTGAGTGCAGCCTTGCAACTGCCAAGTCATTTTGGAGACTATTTTCCAAAAGCTCCTCCAAGGCACTTTGTTCTTTGTTTCCCCCTTCAAGTAGGCATTCTAGCATGAGCTTGAACTCTCCATTTTGACCATGCTCAACTTCTTTCACTTCCATAGCCCTATAATTTTCATCACAAAAAGTAGAATCATCATAGCGGGGGCTTGGGGAAGGGAAGGACAAATAAGCTCCCAATGACCGTTTTGACAATCACACTTATCACAAATACTCCACTCATGGATTTATGATTGTGCGCACAATCCACCCCCGAGAATTTAAACAATTTTGCCACGAGTGTGATCCTCCACAATAAGGACAAGGGTCATCAAAGTATGAACAACTACCATCCGACCAATTTTTATTACATGATGCCATTTTTCAAAAATAAGAAAATAAACAAGAAACAAACAAAAAAATATAGACCAAGGTAAGAAAAATTAATTACACAAATATTCACAAGTTTGGACCAAAGCGCTTACGCTTATTTCTCAAACAACCTAAATTACGTCAAATTGCTCCCCGGCAA